TTTGCATTTCCATCACAAACACTTTTTTCTCATGAGGCTCTAAATCGGAATGAAATTTACTATTAATTGCAAAATTCGCCATAAGTCTCTGCCCATTTAAAATGAAAATAAATTTTATAACAATAAATACAGTTGTAAATTTTCAATATATACCTACTTACTCTTAATTTAATAATAAATGTCTTTGTCTACGATTTATTCTTATCGTTAAGTTTTTCAGATACAAGTTTATAACTGTTTCACCCCAACCAAAAAATCTGTAGCTCCAAAAGTAGAAGAGCGAAGTAAAAAAAAGTTGTAAAGCCGACATAAAGAACCTAAAAGCTCATAAGCAACTTAAAAAATTCTCAAAAATTTCGTGCCAAAGCCAGCGAAGCAAAAGCACATTGTAAAGACCCTGTTCAGAAAAATCTACAAAAAAAGTTTCAAATGTGTAGCTTATCAGGTTTAGAATCCACAGCACTTTCCTTCAGAGCTCAGAAGCAACTTGAGTTTCGCTTTGCAGTCGAGTTTGAAAAATTATCAAAAATTTCCAGGCCAATGCAGCGAAACCACATTCGCACACTATGAAGACACTTTTCAATACAATCTACCCAAAAAGTTCCAAACGTCTAGCTCATCAGGTTTAGAATCTACAGCACCTTCCTTCCCAGCTGACCAGCAACTTGGATTTCTCTGTGCAGTAAATTTTGAAAATTTCTGAAAATCTTTCTGCCAAATCTCACGAAACGAAATTTTCTCATCATTAGGAAACTTTCCAGAAGTACACGTGAAAAAAGTTTCCAACTTGTGGCTCATCAGGTTTAGAATCGACAGCACGTGAATGAATTGGTATAAAGAAGGTAAAAATAACGCCTCTACATTTCTCAGTATTTAACCCGTTCAGATTTCCTAACGAATTTTGGAAAATTTGTAATCCAGTTCATCCAATAACCGCAATATAAAAAGGAATCAATCCCATAACTCCCGATATGAAGGCTAAGAAAAGTATCAGTTTTTTTAGGCATTTAAGCACTGAAGTTGCACTAAAAAAAGTTGCTGTTGGCTGGCGAAGCTTTGAAATTTTACTCTAATTATTAAAACTTATTTCCTGTCCTTAATTCTGAAATGTGATTAAATTGTATACCTAATAATTAATGCAATTTTAATAAGCAGTTAGGTATCTATATATAAAACATAAAATTGTCAAACGACCAATTTATATGAAAAAAGGTTCGACTTCAACCATCCCCTTTTTGAGCAAAAAGTCCCAGATCTGCAAGTAGTTGATGGCTTAATCAATTCATCAACCAGATTGCTCATCAACAAGCAAACTAACACAAATTCCCGTAATTATTCTGATGTCGTACATGTTCTAATAACATTTAAGGCACCATATACATTTTAATTTATTTTTCACTTTATTAGTGTGAAATAAAATGATAATTACATCAATCTGGACATGTATAGGAGGTGTTTAATTGCCACGGAAATTTATCGTTCTGCCTTATTTTTTTTACGGCTTTTTCACCATGAATTTGAACCGTGAGAAACTGTGTGGTTTGGTCGATTTTTGCCTTTTTATTGCTACAAGTAATACTCTGAGTCATATTGCTTGGAACCCGGTCGGTTACTACTTGTAATAAAGTAATATTGCGGTTTTATTTTAATTTTTTTAATCAACTATAACGGTTTTTCTACATTCTTAAATTTGTGATTGCTTGTTTAAGTATTTTGTGAACTTTTATAATGTGTAATTGGTTCTTTAGTACCACTTAAAAAATACACGGATATTACAGGGTCGCGTATGGTTTTTCGAAGAATTCCTGGAATATTTCAACGGTTTGATAACATTACCTTCATGTTGTAAGCAAAATAAAAGGGCAGCTGAATGAATTAGATGTGAAAGGAAGGAAAGGAATAAAAATAGGAACAGAACTGAAGCTAAACTCAAAAATGTGTAAAACTGCAACAAGTACGAATCTCTTTTAATGCTTTAACTGTAGCTGTCTAGACGTAAAGTCTGCTCTAACTGCCAACAGTTTTAAGGGAAATTGATCAGCTCATGGAGCCTTAAAATCGCGATGAAAACAACCCGTTGCCAGCAACTCACAGAAACTTTAAAACGGGAAACTATATTTGCCTTCTCCAAAAGTTTCTAAGATTCATTAATTTTGTTTCGTTGTAAATTCATTCATATTTGCTTAAACAGTTGAATTTTAGTTTCGAGAAGCACAACTAAGGACATCACACTAATGAAAATTATTTAAGAAATTAGGTGAAGTTGCAAAATAACAGTTCAAAAAATCTTGTAAGTAGATATTAATTATAGCCTTTCCATGTTGAATTTAATATAGGAAATGGCATTAAGTATATGAAAATTGAGTCGTAACAGTCAGTCAAACTTAATCAGCATCAGCGTCATTATAAATAAGTAACCAGTATTATTTATGTATGTGTTTATATCAAGTTGATAGATTGATTAAAGGTTGGGGGCCAGTTTTAACATGTCACTCTCATAATATTATACATAATTATATGGGCGTTTTTGAGCACATAAAGTGTGCATTGATTGGTAATGAAGAAAAAATCAGTAGGGAAATACACAAATTTATCCAATGTAATTTTTTCTCAAAAGTTGGTTTTTAGTATTTCACATCTTCTCCAAAGGAAACTGTGTTATTTTCGCTTTATCAAACGTTTTCCTTTGTTTTGTTGCCACCTTTTATGCTGCTTCGATTTTCGACACTCGAAGTTGGTA